TTTTGAAGTGGGGGCCGCTCGTGCTTGCCCTGCAAGCTGCGATCTCATGACAAAGGCTTGCAGGGCAGGCACAAACGGTCCCGCTCTCCCTCCCAGCACCGCCCCCTAATCCCCCCGCTGGAAACCCTAGCGGGGTGGGAGAGTTGCGGGACGCTGTTTCGTACCCCGGGATCTCCACTCAGCCGCAGGTTTCCTGTTTTGTATCCAGCTGTCTTCTCTCACCTTGGCTAGTTTGTAACAGCTGGACAGCTTTTCTTGTAATTCCGCAGGAGCAGCTGTTGTGACGCCATAATGTTCCCGAGTGAATGCACAGTAGCCTCTTTGCCTTTGGAGTAACCTGGATACCTTTCTCCCTACATACACACTTGCAGCTATGCTTACTCTTCTAAGTTGTGTGGACAATGCCTTTCCTTTACACTAGGGATGAGAGATGGCATTGACAACGGACTTTGAAATTCAGCCCTACTGGGCTGTATGCAATGGCTGCTGATAGGACTTCTCTGGATGCTTTTTCTTAATATTTGCATGGTGTGCCTTGTCATTTGCAGTGTGTGCTGGTTTTTTTTTTTTTGCTGAATTTGGTTGGGTAGCTAGTATGTGTGAGAATTTGTCACTTTGTGTATTTATAATTATCCTGCAACTTATTTCATTAGCTATTCCTACACAGAGATATTTCTGTACAATTAGAGACAGTGGTTTGGCTCTGGTCAAGGAATTCAGGATGCTTGATTAACTGTGGACCAGAAACTACAGTTAGACCTGTACTTTCTACTTATTCTTCTCAAAATGAGTAGCTAGACATGTCAAATTTATGCTGTGATCCATTTTAGCAGAGGTCATGTGCAGATAGATCCAAGTTCTGTATTAAGCTTTCATGTTCTCCTTCTGTTTCACTTTGTCAGATAATGCTTATCAACTATTTAAAGATAGTGAACAATCCTGTTAGTTCCTTCATATTCATAGGTATACCTGATATAAAGGGAGGAAAGCATGTAGAGATGCCAGTCAACAGGGAAGGAAGTCACAAACAATGATTGTGACTGAAAGAGATTTTTAGCTCTTCACTAGAAGGAAAAGTGAACAGATAGTCAAACAGCTTCCTGTTTGATAGACGCTGAGATGAAATGAGAGCTTTCTTACCTCTGGGTTGACATGGCTTGCTACTTCAACTGTTTTCTCAAATGAGTATGTGAGCATGTTAAAGTATCTGCCCTTGAAGTAAGTGTGCATGTGTTTTTTTCTCCCGCAGTGACTGAATTTATATTGCCTCTTTTTTTTTTTTGAGTTGTAGGTCATACGTCATGAGGGAAATTAACATTTGAGTTAATGCCTTTGTGCTTTGAGGAATCATGTTTTTCCTTTTAATGATTTTATATAAGTCGTGATAATCTTGTGCTCAAATTGTTGTGCTCAAATTGTACTTGGTGTTAAATTTTGGTTAAATTATTGCTTAGCACCTAGAAATACTTGGGAAACTTCTTTAAATGTTGATTTATTGAAAGATTTCTCATACCAACAGAGCTCAGTCTAATTTATGCCACACTTGAGTTGTATGGCTTGTTGACTTTGTCTTTCTGTTGTGGAATCTAGAGACTACAGAGAAAGGATGTTGATTCTTTCTACTAGAAATACTAGGAAATCTAAAATCAGAGTTATCAATTTTTTCTCTGTGTACTTCACAGAAATACTTCACAGTACTTCATAGAAATACTAGGAAATCTAAAATCAGAGTTATCCATTTTTTATCTGTGTACTTCACCTTTATTCTAAGCTTCCTCAGGTGAGGGATGACTGATCCAAGGGCATACAGCAAGCTCTCAGACTATATGGTGGTGGGACAGTGGGGGTCCAGATAGGGCTGAAAGCAGTGATGAGAAATTTGGTTTGGCTGATTAGTAAGGAAAACCTCTAGTATGGTCCATCACAGGAGTAGCATGTTGAATAATTTCATTTTATCTTGAGGTTTCATTGATTCATGAAATCTAATGGAAAAATAACAGGCTATAAGAACATAAGAACATAAGAGAAGCCAATGACCCATCCAGTCCAACACTGTCACACAGTGGCCAAAAAAATTGGGTGCCATCAGGAGGTCCAGCAGTGGGGCCAGGACACTAGAAGCCCTCCCACTGTTGCCCCCCCCAAGCACCAAGAATACAGAACATCACTTACTCCAGCCTGAGAGTTCCTATCTATACCTTGTGGCTAATAGCCACTGATGGACTTCTGCTCCATATGCTTATCTAATTCCCTCTTGAAGCTGTCCATGCTTGTAGCCACCACCACCTCCTGTGGCAGTGAATTCCATGTGTTAATCACTCTTTGGGTGAAGAAGTACTTACTTTTATCTGTTCAAACTGACTGCTCAACAATTTCATGGAGTGCCCATGAGTTTTTGTATTGTGAGAAAGGGAGAAAAGTACTTCTTTCTCAACCTGCTCTATCCCATGCATAATCTTATAAACTTCGATCATGTCACCCCTCAGCCATCGTTTCTCCAAGCTAAAGAAGCCCAAGCATTTTAACCTTTCTTCATAGGGAAAGTGTTCCAACCCTTTTATCATTCTAGTTGCCCTTTTCTGCACTTTTTCCAGTGCTATAATATCCTTTTTGAGGTGTGGTGACCAGAACTGTACACAATACTCCAAATGAGGTCGCACCATTGATTTATACAGGGCCATTATGATACTGGCTGATTAAGAACTTAAGAGAAGGTGTGTTGGATCAGGCCAATGGCCCATCCGGTCCAACAGTCTGTGTCACACATTGGCCAAAAAACAGGTGCCATCAGGAGGTCCACCAGTGGGGCCAGAACTCCAGGAGCCCTCCCACTGTTGTCCCCCAAGCACCAAGAATACAAAGCATCATTGCCCCAGACAGAGCGTTAATCCATACCTTGTGGCTAACAGCCACTCATGGACCTCTGCTCTGCATATTTAATCCCTTCTTAAAGCTGTCTATGCTTGTAGCCACCACCACTTCCTGTAGCAGTGAATTCCATGTTGCTTTCTGATATTTTAAATTAAATACTCCTGTCATTGTTCAATGATTGCAGAGGAGGGAAGCTTTCTGGCTCACATAGTAGAATCCAGGCCAAAAAAGGATTTGAGGGCAGTAATGCTTGACTTTGTATTGAACACAAGCAATATGAGCCCCTTGACTTCTTATTTCAAACATGAATGTTGGCAGTATCTCTAAGTATGTTAGCTTCTCTTGTCTATGACAGTACCAGTAGGAAAGCTTCCAGGGCATATACGTCACTGGCACTCTTGTTGCTTAGTTTTATGCAGGGCTATTTTGGGGCAAGACTGTTTTGGAAATAATCTGCTGAAAGGCTCTGATGTGGTGGAGAGGGTGTGCTATGTTTCTTATTCTTCCTTCTAAAGGTTTTGAGTTACAGTTTGGTGCAGTGGTTAGGAGCATGGACTCTAATCTGGGAGAGCCAGGTTTGATTCCTCATTCCTCTACTTGCAGCTGCTGGTGTGACCTTGGGTCAATCACAAGTTCTTTCAGAGCTGTTCTCTCTAGAGTAGTCCTCGAAAGAGGAAACTTTTGGAGGGATTGTCCTTAACAGATGATAATTCAACTTAGATTTAAAGATTTATCTCACCATTTCAGTATAGTTTTCCAAGTTACAGAGTGTTTATTGAGATGTTTGCTTATGTAACTGTTAATGTTACTTTTAAAATAAATATAATATTAATTATTAAAAGTATGGAATTGGAAACTTTTAAAAAAATGTTTTATTGGTTTTGACAAAACCGTTTTGACAACAAACAACGTAAACAGAATAAGAAGCAAAAGGTGGGTGTGGCTGGATGACCACACTTCTGGTAACATGGGGGTGTGGTCTAATATGCTGTTGGGTGTGGCCTATTATACTAATGAGTCCTGCTGGGCTTTTTCTACCAAAAGAGCCCTGAACAAATTTAATTGTTACATATAATGGATGAAGAAAGAGGGAGGTTCTAGCCTTGTATAAATAAATAAACAAAGCGTAAGGAAGTATGATAAAACATGTTAAGAAGAGCCAGTTAAGGCCTCTAAAATGTGGGTCCTCTTTGGATGTTACATCAAGTAACTCTGTATAAGTCAGGATGGGAAAGAGTGTTTAATTTCTTGGTAAGTTCTAATTGAACACTTTTGTGCTGTAGTCTCCCTTTGAAGGGTGGGGTTTTGTTTTTTTTGGTAGATCACGGACTGCAGTGGTACATCTAGGAAAATTAACATTTCCCCCCACAGGTTTCTGAATATTGTGATTTCTTAGATTTGTGTCCCATTTTAAAAGAACCTAGTCAAGTATTTAAGAAGCATCAAAGAGGCCATAATCTGCAAGATTTGAAATTTTTTCAGAGACACTGTTACGGTACAGCAGGGCTCCTCAGTTTTACCAGAGAAAATATCAATCATTAAAGAAACAACTGTAAAACCCCTGCCATATGTAAGTAAGATGGTTTAGCAGTACTTATCTCTCATGGGAATGAGCATATCAAGGAGAGGGAAGGCCTTGTTTTGGGCCCCTGCCTGCTTTCAGATTTCCAGGGAGAAGGAGGTTTGGTTGGTTTTGTGCCTGAGGTCCTGAAGAGCTGCTGTCAGTCAGGGCAGGCAGTGTTTAAGTAGATGGCCAAATGGTATAAAAGCAGCTTCATGTGTTATGTTTATATGAGATCTAGAGAATGGGATATGAGGTGATGTATGGGTTCACCCCTTTGGGTTGCAGCCAGGGCTTGGAAATTGATGTGAGTCATCAGTGGACAACCTAAGAAACTAAGGAGTGGTGGTCAAAGCAGTGGGAAAGTGTTAGATGACCCATTCTTAGTCTTTTGCCTCAACTCAGACTGGGAATTCATTGCAGAAGTCAGCTTAATGTATTAACAACAAAAATAGGCGTGGAGCCTGATATGATATTAGAAGAACGCATGTTGATTTAAAAGTCCTCAGAAATACATTTTGTACACATTTAGAGGATGACAGCACTTTTTATTTACTTCTCATTGCAGGTCGCAGCTCGAGAAATTACAATGATGAAAGGAGACCCTATGACTCCTGGTTTCCCCCAGGAGAGCTATCTGCAGAAGAACTCCGAAGGCACAGGCTTAACAGATATGAAAGGCAGTAAAATTCTCAGATGTCCAGTGACAATATAAAAAGGTGTCTATATGGTAGCTGCCTAATGTGGGCTGATTCTTCTCCTGCCACATTTACGCAGTCTTGCAGAAAAGAATGTTTCCTGCCAGGTATGTACTTAAGACACACCAAGCTGTGTGAAAAAGTGGGGTCAAAATTATACTTTCTTGGTATGAGGATCTTCGAGAGTAAAGCTTAAGATGAAAAGGTACCTAAGAGCCAGATGTAAGTTAAAGAATTCAATTCACGAGGAACAGTTTTGATGTGCTCTTGTTCAGTTCTACTTATCTCAGTGGGTGGAAGAAGTTGCAGGAGCCTTTGATTGTTGAACCTTTGGATGTCAATGGAACCTACAGACATATTCAAATAAGCATTTTTTGCTATGGTACATGATTACAAACATGCTCTGAAATATAGAAGTACTACTTATTTAACTCCAAAGCTGTACATTTGGGTTTTGGCAAATATTTGCATATCAAAGTTACATTATTCTATGATGTATTAACAGCAGTAGAGTTAGTTGTTGCAAGGAATTAATGCAGTGTAAATTATGTCGGCAGTGAAGGAATCGGTAAACAGGCTATGGTAATAGTGAACACGTCTAAATTAAGCTACATTATGAGATTAAAAGATAGTAGGCAATGTGTTAAGGTTATGATAGCTTTCATTTGGATATGACCTGCCGTCTTCTTGCAGGTAAACCCACTTTTTCTTTTGCTTCAGAGGTATTGTTCAAGTAGACAAAAAACCTCTCTTGTGGCATTTTCTGTATTCTTCTAAGACATTGCTATATGCTTGCAAAGGTTCCTTTTTAATTAATAAAATAAAGACAATGTATGTAAATTTACTCACATCAGTACTTTATCCTATTTGTGTGGCAGACTTGAAATTTGTATTTACACTTAAGCTCAAGGATGGGAACTTTCCTGTCTTTGTCTTGATCAGTGTCATTGGAAGTATACTTTGATTTTATCCTGTTGTGCAGAACCACTTGAAATACTTATGTGTTGATTTATTTGGCTATTGGAATGTGAGTTGTCTTATTTGGCAGGGTTCTGCACTTTTGAAGTCTTAACGTATCTACCTCTCCAAGGCATTTTGTCCAGAATATATCAATATAAACACTGCCTCACAAGGAACAGCTGAATGTGAACTTTGCGGAAATTTACTTAATGTAATCTGTTGCATCTTCAGGATTTCATCAGCAGGTTCTCAAGTACAGCTATCAAACATTCAATATACACAATATAGTGTTGGCTGTGCCTCATTTTTGTATTTTCTATTTCCTTGCTTAGTTTTATCTCAAGGGAAACAAAAATAAAGATGCAAAAGATGGTTTGAGGCTTTCCAAGTGCTGAGGATCCTAAATCTGGTGTTCTGTTTTAGCCAGCAACAGATTTTGTGAGCTTCATCCTAGGAAATAATGATTCCACCCATAATTAATTGCATTGGCAGTGCAAAGGTGTTTTGATCTACACATACAATGTATATGCTAACCATATCTAGTCAATATTTAAACAGTTTAATTTGTTGTAGAAACAAACAGCATTTATTCTTTAGAGAATAACTGTGCCCTTGTGGAAATGGAAAGAATAATTTCTGTGTCCTTTTTTCCTAAAAATCCCCGTTCTTTGTGGGCAAATGCTGAGTGAACTTTGTCATCATATTTTGACTTTGTCATTTCATTTGGCAATCTCCTGCTGTTTTCAGAATTCTAGTAGTTATAATCCCCCCCTTATGTTTGTGATAAAGATGTCCATGTTCTTTTCTTTTCTTTTTAAAAAATCAAACTCCTTTAGCTTTTGGAAAGTTGGTCTGGGTGGGGCAAGAGGGTTAAAACTGTTTAATCATGTTTTTATAAGTTAATTAGCATTGTGATTTTTCTTTCTTGTGCCTTGTAAGTTTTGCTGGTAAAATCCATGTATTACATACTTGTGTCAGATGGGGGGGGGATGGGTTGCTCTCACCAGTTTGGTGTAGTGGTTAAGTGTGCGGACTCTAATCTGGGAGAACCGGGTTTGATTCCCCACTCCTCCACTTGCACCTGCTGATGTGACCTTGGGTCAGTCTCTGGCACAGCTGTTCCTGAAAGAGCAGTTTGTCTCAGAGTTCTCTCAGCCCCACCCACCTCACAGGGTGTCTGTTGTGGGGTGGGGAAGGGAAAGGAGTTTGTAAGCCGCTCTGAGACTCCAAGTGAAGGGCGGGGTATAAATCCAATCTCCTCCTCCTCCTCCTCCTCCTCCTCCTCTTCTTCTCCTCACGAGATCTCTTCTAAATGATGAGAATAAAGGGGTGAGGAGATGATGGAATAAACCATCTAATCTACATTCCAGTCTGTTTGAAGCTGTAGGAGTGATTATCAAACTCCCTGAAAGCAGATTTATGTATTTCTATTCTCACAGAAGAATCCTGCAATTGTCAAGTAACAAGTGAGAGAAAGAGGCTGTGGGGTGGGGGGAAATACATGAACTGCACTTTTTTGTTTCCATGTATGCACTTGCTATTGTGTAAATAATGCTGTCTGGTAAGATGTTAGAAGTACATGCACTTTTAAATAAATAGTTTGACAGAAAGATTGCCAGATCCTTCTCCTGGTCTGACAACAAGTTGCACTGGTGTTCTCATACATCATATTTTCTAGAACTTTTCCTAAAGAGTGTATCTGCATGGCATTCTCTGTATGATACTTTGTTCCTGTCCTAATGTTGTAGCATATGCTTGGAAGTTCTCCCAGGGAAATAACTTTTGCGCAGAGCTCAGAAAGTTGGCCAGGAAAACCAGAACAAACTCCACGAAAATAATGAAGAGAGCAATCCTAAGCAGGTCTGTTTGGAGTCCTACTCAGGTCTGTTCATTGGGGCTTACTCCTAGAAAAGTGTTCTTAGGATTGCAGTGTTTATGTCTTGCAAACTCTTCTAGGGATTGTAGTTCTAGCAAATAGTCTACACATCCTCTGACATGTTGTTCATGACTGTCAGATCACTAAATATAGTGGCAGGTAGCATATACATACATTTACAGAGTTCATAAGCTTTCCAACAGCACCGAATTTGGGAGTGTTCAGTGTTCTGCAATTAGTATGCTGACCACGCAGTTGCTTTTGTGTGAAGCAACAAAACCTTGGGGTTTTACTGTATGTATCCCAGAATTTGTGGTTGCCACCAGTTCCCTAAAGTTTTAAAATAGACTAAAGCCTTTTCTGTTAATTTCTTTAAGGTTTCTTTTCGCATCTGTGGTCTGCATACTTTCTGTGACACTGGAGGGAGTACTTTAAAATGTTATTTTAAAGAAAACCTCTTTGATATTTTAGGGAGAATGGAATTCCAGTTTGTTTGGAGGGAATCGGACATCACAGGGAAAACACATTCAGAATGTTTCCTACGGACCACTCTGTTTTCTGTATGAAATGCTATTTTAAAAATGTGCCATGAAATATTATTGCTCATTTAAAGTGGAAGGGATAGTATTTCAGTGACAGTCTAAGCGCTGTCTGGAAGTTACCATGGTAACAACACATTTGTCATGACAGCACAGCAAATTGTCATATAAAGCCAGAATAAATTGTCAAAGCACAGCCAGCTAGGAATGCACAGACATATCCATGTTCACTTTATTTGCATGAAAACAAAATACCTAAGGCTTCTGAAGTCTTCCTCTCTGGAACATTTAGGTCACGAACAAACGTGATGAAGATCACGAATCTCCATCTGTCTGTGAAAGGCAAATAGTACGTACATCCCCAGTTTGGATCAGTGCCACACAAAGATGGCAGTGAGACTAAACCTTTAAACCCCCACTTTAAATATTTTTGTTAATGAAAGCTGGGCTCCCCTTGCTGTTAGCATTTTAAATGGGAAAATATAGATTATATGAAGAGGCTGAAGGGTTCTAGTCTCCTCTCTGAATTTGGGGGGAGGTGAAAAAGTCATGTTCTATGGACATGTTTGGCTGAATCCAAGCCCATATGAGGGAGGCGCATATAATCTTTCAACCCCTTTAAAGGTCTGTATTTTCCCCTTTAAAACACTCATAGCCTGCAGAGTCCAGTTTTGTTCCTTGCAGGGGATACAAAGGATGGACCATGGCTGGTTGGTGGCAAAAACAGTACAGTAAATGATATAAAATAGCTCAATGCACACTGAAGCATAAAAACATTCAAGATGGTGTCTGAATAACTGCAACTAAACAAAATGCAAACAGGAAGGACAAAAGAAGTAAAACATGTCCCTTCCAAAGCATCAGCATGTTTTGGCAAACACACTTCATCAGCCCACCTGCAGTAGAATGTTTTCAATACAGCCTTCTTAGATGGTGAGAAAGCAAAGCAGGTAGGTTCACAACCATACAAGGCCAGCTGCCCAGGCGTACCAAAGACTGCACTGAGTAAATTCCTTTCTTACCTCTCTTTGCATCTGGAGCATCGGTGCATCCTGTCAGTACAGGGAATGCTTATTATTAACAAGTTTTGATCAAGACAGTAGCATCCCTTATCTTCTAAAATAAACACATTATTTATTACTATGCAGTCCCACATGGGTACTGCGCAGGCACACAGGCCAGCCACTGGAAGATTTTTTAGCTAGGCTAGCAACAGAGTAGGAGGAGCCCCAACTGGAGACATTGGAGCCGTTTCCCATCCAACAGTCACGTGCTCTGGGGAGGGGCTCTGCACACCCCCTCAGTTCTCTTTTTTTCTGCTGCTGGAGAAGAACAGTGCTTGGTTAGATCTTCAACTTTCCACAAGAATATGTCACTGTTTAAAAAGTCTTTGTCATGTGCGATCAAAACGATGAGGACAGATGAACATTCTGTCTGTGTCCTCTGCCTTGTCCAGGTCTCTGCCACAATGGTGCAATATTACAATCTGATTCTTGGGTTTTGTCCATTATTGAACAAGGTTATCATTGAGAGTTTACTCATGCCCCCCCTTATACATTCCAGTCAAGCAGTTGATAATGCTTTCCCTGAGTTTGTTGAGGAGCTAAACTTATTACAAAAAAAGGGTGTGATCCTAGTTTAAATCTCTTGGCAGCATAACTTAGTTATTATTCAAAATTTTCTTAATAAAAAGGATGGTGGTTTTTGTTCAATTTTGGATTTTAGAGGTCTTAATTTCTCCCTTGAGGTTTGTAAATTTTGAATGGTCTCCTTGGCCTCAGTAGCACAGTTACTCAATCCAGGAGACTGGTTTGCAGTCTAAGATCTTCAGGACACTTATTTTCATATTGCAATTCATGCAGACCATTGGAAGTACTTAAGTTTCTTGGTTCTGGGTGCTCCATATGAATTCAGGGTCCTTCCCTTTGGCTTAGCCAATGTTCCTCGGGTATTTGCTAAATGTATGTCTGTTATGATTGCCCATTTATGGTCTAGGGGTTGTTCAATCTTCCCCTACCTTGATGATTGGCTGTTTACTGCCTTCTCCGAGCTAAAGCTCCATGGATAATTGTCACTGGCTCTTCAAACTCACCAGAACCTAGGCCTCCAAATTAATTAGGAAAAGTCTGCTCTGATCCATGACAGCAGATGCCCTTTATTGGGGCTACTCTGGATTCCATTGCAGCTCAGGTGTTTTTGCCAAATGACAAGGCACAATTCATAAGTGACATGGTTCAACAATTCAGGTTTAACCATTTTCAGAAGGCCATTACCATCCAAAGACTTTTTGTTTTAATAGCCTCTATGGTTTTCATGGTCCCCTTTGCCTGCTTAAGGATGTGACCTTTACAAAATTGCTTCATAAGAGTGTTTAATCCTGCTTGACACTTTGAGAATTGTTTTTTGATATCTAGGAAAATCCTGCGGGAGTTAGAATGGTGGACCCTTGACTCTAACTTGCTGGAGGGTATTTCCTTCAGTTCACAATCCCCTCAGGTCACAGTAATGACAGATGCTTTCCTTTCAGGCTGGGGGGGTGCATTGTGGAGACAGATGTGTTAGTGACATATGGTCAGCTTCTGAAAAAGGCCTTCATATTAACCAACTAGAATTGAGAGCAATTCATTATGCCCTTAACTCTTTTGCAGCTCTACTACACAGGAAGGTGGTCCAGGTGCAAACTGACAACACCACTGCAGTGTTTTATATTAACAAGCAGGGAGGGACTTCTTCCCTTTCACTATGCCAGGAGGCTACTGTCATCTAGGAATGGGCTATTGCACACAGTACATCACTCCAGGCCATCCATATTGCTGGAGTGGAGAATATAACTGCGGATGGACTCAGCAGACTAGGGGAGTCCAATCACGAATGGGCAATTCATCATGATTACATCTACCTAGTGTTTGCACAATGGGGGTTTGCCACAGTATACCTCTTTGCCACAAGACAGAACTCCAAGGCTCCCTCTTCTGCTCCAGAGGGGGTGCAGATCCCCTGTCTTTAGCAGATGCATTCCAGTTAACTTGGAATCAAACATTGTGTTACACTTTTCCTCCATTGCCCCTGATAGAGAGGGTGGTGTGGATCACAGACCATTCCCCTTGGTTACCCCTTTCTGACCAAGACAGATCTGGTTCCAAGTGCTCCTGCAGAGATCAAGAGGTAGGTGTATTCATCTCAGGTGCAGGATTTACTAAGCACAGAAGGGTCCACCCATCGCGGACTGACACCTTATGTCTGACTGCCTGGCTGTTAGTACATTTGATCTCTGACTCTGTAATTAAGGTTCTTGTTAATTCTTGTAAGCCCTCCAATAGATCGTCATAGCCTTTCAAGTGGAAATGTTTCCTGAAGTGGTTAGGGGATAGAGAAG